GCACCGGGCGGGACGGGCCGTGGGGCGGGGAGCGATCCCGGTACCGGGCAGGATAAGTCCGGATGGTCCTTGGCGTTCCGTGGGGTCTTGGTACCGGGAAGAACCGTCCTTGACGTTCGGGACACCCTCGGTACCGGGCAGGAAGGTCCTTGGAACAGAGAGGGATGCCGGTACCGGGAAGGTCGGTGCTTGAAGCAGGGAGGGATGCTGGTACCGGAGAGGACGGTCTTTGGCATTCCAGAGCATCCCCGGTACCGGGCAGGACGGTCCTTGGAGCAGGGGGGGATCCCGGTACCGGGAAGGACCGTTCTTGGATCAGCGAAGGATCCTGGTACCGGGAGGGTCGGTCCTTGGTGTTCCGGACACCCCCAGTGTACCGGGCAGGACAGTCCTTGGAGAAGGGAGGGATCTCGGTACCGGGCAGGACAGTGCGGACGGTCCTTGGTGTCCCGGAGCATCCCCGGTGCCTCCCGCGGGCGGGGGCTGGTGCTGCTGCCCCTGTCCCTGTGTTTCCCTCCTGTCCCTGTGTTTCCCTCCTGTCCCCGTGTTTCACTCCTGTCCCTAATGTGTCCCCCCTGTCCCCGATGTGTCCCCCTTGTCCCTGGTGTGTCCCTCCTTGTCCCCGGTGTGCCCCCCCTGTTCCTCGTGTGTCCCTCCTGCGTCTCCTGTCCCCGCTATCCCCCCTGTCCCCGATGTCCCCTGTCCCCCGTGTATCCCCGGTGTCCTGTCGGGGGTCCCGTTGCTGACGGTTCCCCGTGTTTCCCGGCACAGCCATGGAGGTGCAGTCCTACTACACCAAACTGCTGGGGGAGCTGAACGAGCAGCGCAAGCGGGACTTCTTCTGCGACTGCAGCATCATCGTGGAGGGCCGGATCTTCAAGGCGCACAAGAACATCCTGTTCGCCAACAGCGGCTACTTCCGAGCGCTGCTCATCCACTACATCCAGGACAGCGGCCGCCACAGCACCGCCTCCCTGGACATCGTCACCTCCGAGGCCTTCTCCGTCATCCTGGACTTCCTGTACTCCGGGAAGCTCGACCTGTGCGGGGAGAACGTGATCGAGGTGATGTCGGCCGCCAGCTACCTGCAGATGACCGACGTGGTCAACTTCTGCAAGACCTACATCAGGTCCTCCCTGGACATCTGCAGGAAGATCGAGCGGGAGGCGGCTTTCTACCAGGCGGACAGCGGGAGCTCCGCCAGGGAGGGCACGTCCCTCGGCCCCCGGGGACAGTGCCCTGCCCCTGGCTCGTCCCTGCAGGATAAGGAAGGGGTCTCGGGCTGCCAGCGGGACCCCCCGTGCGGGGACTGCAGCAGCTGCCACCCCCTGGAGCTGGTGGTGAGGGACCCCCTGGGCGACTCCCAGGACGGGGTGAACTCCTCGCTGCCCAGGGGGGTGGAACCCAAGGTGGAGTTCGACCCCGACGACGACGGGGAGGTGGAGGTGGGCGAGAGGCTGCCCCAGTATCCCGCCCCGCTGTCCCTGGAGCACATGGAGGAGGGGCAGCCCGTGGACCTGGCCTGCAACAACTACCACATGAAGCAGTTCCTGGAGGCCCTGCTGCGCAACAGCTCGGCCCAGAGGAAGGAGGACGTGGTGCAGCACTTTGTGAGGGGGTTTGAGGGCAGGACGGAGGACGCAGGGGTGGCCATGAGCTCCATGGTGGACATTCACAGCGACTGGTATGGTGAGGACACAGGTGAGAGGACCCTGGGGGGGTGCAGGCTGAGGAAACCGCTCAGTTGTGCCCAGACTTCTCTTGTTGCTGCTGTTCTTGCTCAGGAATATGTCGGTGAATGTTGTGGCACAGTGAAATAAACTCTTGTTGTGGACTTCCAAAGCGGCTGTACTTGTTTGTTCAGTGCAGCCCGTGGGAGGTGAGTATCCCCAAGAGCTTTACAGCCCCTCTGGAACAGAAACTGGAGCTCAGTGTGGGTGATTCTGCTCTAATAAACAAACTCACTTGAGACCTCTTTGAATGGCAGGTGAATTTTTAGAGAGAATATTTTCTCTTGTGGATGGTCATGTTGTAAGGAGCAATCCAGGAGGAGCTGAGCTGCCACAAGAGGGATCTGCTGCAGGACCTGGCACAGCAGAAGGAGCTCATCCCACCAGAGCTCCTGCCAGCACATCTGCTGGGTGATGGTCTCTTTGCTCCTGCTTTGAACTTCAAAGGGCAGAAATCAGTTTAATCCAATACTGAGGGACACCTACAAGTCCTTCAAAAGCTTTAAACTCTGTGGTGCTGCATAAAGATGAGATTTTTTTAGAGGCAAACTCACTTTTCAGCTGTTGGTCACCGAGGTTCCACTGCTGCCCCAAGCCCAGCACTTGTTGGAATGTCTCAGGAATATCTCCCAGGAGCAGTGTCAGGGACCCAGAGAAGAAGAAACTCATGTCCATATGCATTTCCTCTGAAGAGGACAATAAAGATTTGGGCATTTTATCTGGTTTTTTTGATAATTGCCTTGCCCAAACAGCCCTGTGAAGACGGGAGGTGGCTCTGGCAAACTGCAAGTGCCCCAAACAGTGAGGATGTGGCAAATGCCACAGTGCCTTGGGCACAGACAGGGCTGGCACTGGGTGCTCTGCCATGCCCAGCACGTTTGTGCTCACGTCATCTCCAGCTCAGGCCTGCCTCTGTGATCCTAGAGCCAATAAAACAGACCTGTTCTCTCACTGCTTTAAAACAGGGAGCTGATAAAATCACAAAACCCAGTTTTACTGTCCCCAGAAGCTCTCAGGGCTGTCACAGATCACACCTGTAAATTTTTGATGTGTAGCAAGGCGGGACCATCAAACACACAAACTTCTCTTTTTCCTCTCTTAAAATCTCCCAACTGTTTAATAAATCATTAAAAAGGGAGATGCTTCCAGAATTTGATGGAGAACACCAGGAGTCCTGGCAGTGGAGTAGAAATGTTAGTGGTAGATGTGCTTTAAGTGGGAGTGAGGGAAAGGAAACCAAGCCCTGCATTCCTTGTGTTTCTCTGCTAAAACAGGACATCATAAGCACTGAGGAGAATGGGAGTTTCTCTTCCCAGCTTTCACTGGTGCTGCTGCCTCAGCATTTTCACAAGGCACCAGGAATGAGAAATACAAAGTCCTGACAGAGGAATGGTGCACTCAGGCTGGCACAGGAGATGAATACTACTTATATTTTTGAGTGTCCACATCTGTTCTTGTCATCCTGGTCCCCTTCACAGCAGGTGGAGGGTAAACAGGCACCTCTAGGGAGCCTGGAATCAAGTCAGGACTAAGAACTGGGTTTGGTTTTTATTTTTAATGGAGCTTTAAGTGCCCAGCAGGGATTAGCAATACCTTTTGAAGGTCCAGAATTGGGTGAGGTGGCTCTCACTCACATGCCATTAATATTAGACACACCTTTTTTGATAGTGGGTTGGAAAAACCTTAATAAAGGGATGTTCTGCAACCTCAGCTGCTTGTGGAAGAGCTCAAGGCCCTGAATCAGTGCCTGAAACAGGGAAAACTAATCCTTTAGCATCACATCTCCACCCTTCTGCTGGAAGGGAAGCTCACCCCTGGCTGATGCTGACAAACCTGGCAATGCTCACGTTGGTGTAAAATGTGACCTTCAAGTTTAATCCTCTTTTTGCACCTGACCTCATAAATTGGGTATCACCTGTACTTTGATTTTAGGAACAGTGAAATACCATCACCAAATGTACTGGAGTCCTTTATCCTGTTGTTATTCCCAACAGGAAGGCTGAAGTGAATGGCAGGAGAAACAAGTGTTGATGTTTTGAGATGGGTTCCCCACATTTAAATATAAGATCACGTGGGGCACAGTGCAGTGTTCCTACCTGCAATTTGTGTTAAAAGATTTTGGCTCCTGATGCTGCTTAATGCTAATGGTTTAATAATAATAAAATAAAAAAAGGAAGTAGGAAACTTTTGTGGTTGAGGTGGAGCAGAGATCCCCCTGCACTAAAAGCAGGTTTGGGGCACTTAAAGGCTTCTTAAAATAAAATGAATGTTTTCCTGTTGTGGGTATCAGCTGTGTAAGGCTCATTTCCAAGGCACTTGGGCATCTGCAGCTGCACCAATGTCTGCAACTGCACAGGCTGAGGGAATTCCAGGTAAGGCCAGCCCAGGGACAGGGGAGGTGCAGTTCCCTGGGCTGGGATCTGCGGGAGCAGGACGGGAACCCCCCACAGCATTCCCAGCAGTGCTGCCCCTGCCTGACCCGCTGCTCTGTGTGTTTTCTCTTTCCCCCTTAAAGGTGACGTGCTGGTCGTGCCAATCAAGCTGCACAAGTGCCCTTTCTGCCCTTACACGGCCAAGCAGAAGGGGATCCTGAAGAGGCACATCCGCTCCCACACCGGGGAGAGGCCCTACCCCTGTGAGACCTGCGGGAAGCGCTTCACCCGCCAGGAGCACCTCCGGAGCCACGCCCTGAGCGTGAGTCTGGTCCCGTGTCCCTCGGGAAATTCATCCTGGAAGTTGGTTTTTTTTGGCATTTTCCAGTCGCGTTTCCCGAAATACGTCGGATGAAACGGCCGTGGCCGACGCGAGGCAGGCTCAGGGGAGTTTAGCTCTTGTCAGGTTTCTAATAATAATAAGTTTGAGCCACTGGTATTTGCTGCAATAACTTAGGTATTTGGTTCATGAGGTGTTTGATATTTGGTCCGTTAGGTTAGGTACAGGGAAGGAATTCTCCCCTGTGAGGGTGGGGAGGCCCCGGCGCTTTACTTTGAGAAGTAAAAATGAATCTTGCTGCCTGAACTTTGAGGGAAGGCAAATTTTCTATTGGGAAGGGAAGGAAAATATGGTTAAAACCCACCCCTTTGGGCCCTTACCTCCTTTCTCACTGTCATAGTGTGAGGCATCCATCTGGGCATCGTCGCTGGGCAGCTGCACCCTCGCTATGACCAGGTGATTCTGCTCATCTGTGGGTACTGAAATCTTTGCCTTCAGGTCTGCAAGGGGAGAGGAGCAAAGCAGGGGTCACAACCATTGGGCTGATTACAACAATATTTTTTTATTGCAGTTTCTGACAGAATAAGGATCTTTAAACTTATGGTTGTTTTCCCATCCCAGTAAAAAACCTGCTTCCTCC